TCCTTTCGGAAAGATATTGCTTTGGCTAGAGACCTTTTATCCATTTTTATCAATAACAAAAAATCCAGCTACTTATTTAACATTTAGAGTACAAACATTTGTTTTGAAACTCATAGCGCAAACAAGACTTGCCAACAAATACCTATGTGCTTTTACCTTTAATTCTATCCTCTATAAACTTGACCCCCGCATAATATGTACAGTTTGTAACACCTCTGAACTAGAGACATTAGACCACATTCTTTTCAGATGTCCAATGTATAGAGAAGTCAGACCATTAACATGGTCGAGCCCTGACTCATTTCTCAATTTACTTGAAACCTTAGCTCCAGTATCTGCCAAAACATTTGCTTCCACCATAATGTCATTCCTCAGGCTTCGATCCTTTTTGATATCGCAGGATTAGAATTTGTTAGAAATATCAACTTTCTCTCTTTTTTTTGTTGTATAGACCCCTTCCATAGGTACTTTTATTAGGCACCAAAATGTGAACCCTTCTGGTTTTTAGTTTATACATAGAAATACAAGTAACTTTATCTTTCGCTTTGTAATTAGATTAAGATTATTTAGATTATTATTATTTTTTTGTTCGTTTCTAATAACAAATACGTATCCAAATTCAAAACAAATTATATTCCCTCCTTTATAAGTTTATTTTTGCTTTTGTAATTCAAACCACTACGTTTACTAGATTTAGAGCACTCATTGTTATAGAAAATACTTTCTGGAAACAATAAAAATTGAATTGAATTGAATTGTATCTCAAAACCGTTCCAGAAAACCAGTTCTTCAAGTATGGCACCACTTTCAGACTTGACGATAAGTATGGCATAATTTTTCCGAAACATACTCCTTTGTAAACTTTCGAAAAATTGAAAAGCCATACTGTAACAATTCGTTTCGTTTTTTTTTTTTTGGCGCAAGTGTGACAGTCTTCAGCCCCATGATATCAGTTTGGGATAATTGTTTTCAGGTAGAATCGTATAGAAGCAACCTGCAACCTGAATACAATGATGCCATACCGTAATAAACAATTTTACATCTTGTATAAGTTGGAGCTCAAAAACTTCCCAGAAAAGCAGTTCTTCAAGTATGGCACCCCCAAGAGTTCAGGATAAGTATGGCATAATTTTTCCGAAGCATATTACCTTGTAATCTTTCGAAAAATTGAAATGCCATACTGTTACAATTCTTTTCGTTATTATTTTTTTGGGCTCATCTTAGCGCCATGGTATTAGTATGGGATAATTATTTCCAGGAAGAATCGTATAGAAACAAACTTAATACAATGATGCCATACTGTGATAAATAATTCTAGATATTGTACCAGTTGTAGCTGGAAGACGTTTTGGGAAAACTAGTATTCAAGTATGGCACCACTTTTGCACTTGATTATAAGTATGGCAAATATATGAACGGTCACATTGTATCATTATCTTTCGAGAAAACAAATGCCATACTGTTACAAATCGTTTAGTATTATCGAAATACCACAAGAGTTTTCGGGATTACCGGATAATACTTTTACCTGTCACGAAACGCGTTACGCAGCAACACCACGACTCCGAAGGAGGAGTGGTAAGGAGGAGTGGTGTTACTGGTAACACGTTGAGTGTCAGGTAAAAGTATTAGGTAATCCTGAGACATCGAGTGGTATTCAAAAGGTTATATGTACAACGAACCAAACTTTAATACCTCATTAAATTTTCATTTTTTTCTATAATAGAATTTGCTATAAATCTTGCCACCAAGCGCGATAATCCCAAAAGACTTATCACTTATTAAGCCTCCCGTGTCATATGGTTAATTTTTTATTTTTTTCTATAGTAGAATTTGCTATAAATACTGCCACCAAGCGCGATAATCTCAAAAGGGATAAATTGATAATCCAACTAGGTAGGTGCCAACTATTTTTTTAAATACTATATTGTTTTATTTGGAGTAAAATGATACTTTTTGCGGCGAGATTAATGTTTGACGGACCAGCCACAAAAAGTGCTTTTCTCGGAATAAAACATGCGATTTTTTCCGCAAATGGTGTACAAACGATGGAATTAAGGTTAAATTTCTGTGACGTCACTTTTTTGTCCGGCTGTGACGTGAGCGTACAAAAAAGTGTACTTTTTTGTACGCTCACGTCACGGCCGTACAAAAAATGACGTCTGTGAAGTCAAACTTCAACATTTAGAAATGAGGTTAGAAAAGTCGTCATTTTTTGACGTTTGCGGAAAAAATAATTGAGCTTTAGCTAGGCAAAGTAGTGAACCCGTTGAATTTTATCTATTAATAAATATCGATTAATCATTTGCACATGTTAATAATTCAAACATGCGATTTCATTGATTCATCAAATTTTTGGTTAAAGGTCAATGATAAAAAAAATATGAAAATTCTTATCTCATAATTCGTTTATTGGTTTTTATTTCAAATACCTAATATGCTTCACGAGGCATTTGAAAAGATATAGAACTTCAAATTAGATTAGCCCATGGCCGATGAAAAAAAAGCTGATCAAAAATATTTTTCACTGCTCGTGAAATAAAAAAAAAACAGAAATATGTAATAGATAGATATAGTGTTTGCGTGCGGAAAAGACACTTTGCGCACGTGTTAGGAACTAAATTTTTCCTACGAGCTTCATATCAGGTAGGTAACAACAAAAATTTAGAAAAAAAAATAATAATTTGTTCAATTATTTTCAATTAACTTGAAGCGAACCTATGTAGTTATCAAAAAATTACATAACAAAAAAAAAAATAATAGAAAATCATCGTCAGAGCCCTTTATCTTAAAATGTTTAAATTTGATGAGAAAGTTTGTAGATTCTTGCATATCAATAGAGAACAAATCTGACAATGTGTCAAAGTTAATTAAATTTGGTGTTTGTATAGATGTTGGCTGATATAGAAACAGAGGAAAAATTTGTCATTATGTGTCAACGTCGACAGGTGCACTTATTGTTGCTTGACAATTATTTTTACTTTTCGGCACTCAGTGCGGATAAGGCCTGTATCCGCACTGAGTGCGGAAAAGTGCAACTTTGAGAACCGAAATGCGTGCGGAAAAGTACTACTTTGCGCACGCTCGTAGGAAAAAGTATTATTATAAGTATACATCTACATTAGACGCGCTCAGTTGTTAAAACGAGTCTTCAAAAAAAAAAACGTAAATCAAAGATGGCTATAGTTTTTTAAACTAATTATACTATTCTGCTTTATTCTTGTGCTTTCTTTTATTCACCGATGACTCCACGGATGACCTGTCTATCTTTGTCTAGTCCATAGAAAATCGAAATGGCTGTCTCATAATGCTTTCAGCTGATGGATCCTTCGATGAATAAAAGAATTCACCCAGTGTTACCAATTTAATAATACAAAATTCGATAGTATTCGATAGTCTAGGGAAAATTATCGATAGTTCGATATTTTTAATTCCGCCACGAACTATCGATATATCGATAGTTTCATTCGATAGTTTCCCACCTCTACATCAGAGTCTTGATTCCCAATGTCATGATCTATATGACATGTCTATATATCCTATTCACAATCCGTAGTCCAAAGGTAAGGGTAAATTCATCACCTTTCCCTATCAAATAGCACTAAAAGGTGATAAATTTTACCTTTACCTTTGGACATCGGATTGTGAAGAGATAATACATATTTCACTTTTGCTTTTTTTTTTGAAATGCTAAGCAGAATGTTTAATGTTTTTTCCTGAATCAGATTTGTCATTATCATTATTTTCAGTCAAGGACCCCGCAATATTTAAATGGAAATTGGTTACCCGTGATATTTGGATGAAATTTAAATATGTTATTGGGGATGCCGTAAGCAACATTTTTTACCATAGGCACAACCCGGTATATATGACAGGTGAGGCGGGGTTAGCTGTCAAATATTGGAATCTTATATCCAAAAGCAGAGTAACTATTGCAGATTTTGATGAACAAAAAATCTATTTCTACTAAGTCGACCAAGTTAAGTCGAAAAATGTCAACCATTTTAACACCTGTCAAAACCTTGCCAAACGGCAGCACTCATCTTTTCCAGTTTTCAATATTTTATGTTGTCATTTGACATTTTTAACTTATATGTAAATTCTAAATTCAAAAATTGAAAAAAAAAAATGACAGAACTGTCAAAACTTGTCATTTGTTTCAGTAGAAAAAAAATACTCTAATCTGGTCCTTTCTCGTTTTAAGGTAGTTTATTGGTGATAAAACATTGAACAAAGTTCATGCACGTCACATTTTGACAGCTGTCTTTTTTTTTCAATTTTTTAATTCAGAATTTACATATAAGTTAAAAATGTCAAATGACAACATAAAATATTAAAAACTGGAAAAGATAAGTGCTGTCATTCGGCAGGGTTTTGACAGGTGTTGAAACGGTTGACATTTTTCGACTTAACTTGGTCGACTTAGTAGAAATAGATTTTTTGTTCATCAAAATCTGCCATAGTTACTCTGCTTTTGGATATCAGATTCAAATATTTGACAGCTAACCACGCCTCACCTGTCATATATACAGGGTTGTGCCCATGGTAAAAAATGTTGCTTACGGCATCCCCAATAACATATTTAAATTTCATCCAAATATCACGGGTAACCAATTTCCATTTAAATATTGCGGGGTCCTTTAAAATGTTTCTCCAACTTTTTTTTTATCGTGTGTTATGTCAACCATATTCCAAGCATGCTAATGATAGGTTTATTCTGGATTTTTCCGCTATTAAACCCCTTAGTTTAGCTATGCTAGATCTACATATTCAGATTCGGAAGCAAGCTTTTGACCTATAGTGCAGTTTCTCTATTCAAATAATGTTCTCGTCTATTGGCAAAATCAATATAGGGAAATTAGCAATATGTAAACAACAAAAACTCTCCAGCAACTTAAAACCCTATGATTTTATTATGCAGATTCCTTCCTATTTATCGAACTGAGTGTGCCCTTCCATAATGTTAAAAATCTTTAAAAGCTAGAGTATTTTTCCCTTACCATTTATTGAAACTCCTAACACAAACACAGCTAATGATGCGATAACTTTGGCAATATTCTCAGGTATAAAATTCCAAATTTTGGTCAGCTGCACGTCGTACTTTTCCGCCCATGTCACCGCCATTGGATCAAAAAACTTTTTTCCTTCATCACGAGCATTTTTTGAATTTTCCCGGGTTTTTTTCATGACAAAAAAATCATTTGATCGTGTGCAGAAGCAAATTTACAAAGAACTGCGGCCCTAGAGATTATTTTATTTGTTTAAATAATTTTCATAAAATTATCACAGTTTGTGAAATTATTATTATGTAGATATTGATTGAGTATTGTTTATTTTGAGACTGTTTTTTGATAAAATTATCTTAGCAGTTGGCAATCAGAATCGGACTGACCCCGGAATTCAATAAAAGCAAAGATTATTTTATGCAAGCAACGATATATTCGGTAAAAAATCTCGATTAGAAGCTCATCCAAATCACAGTTTAATTTTTTTAACAGTGTTACTGCCCTGTTACAAAAGTTATGTCCGTCGTTTTTAATCTGACACTTTCCGTATGAGGAGCGAGGGGATGAAGTATATGGCAAAAACAGGTGTGACGTCAGGTGACCATTGGCGTTCTAATGTAGGGTGCCACCAGCTCACATTCCTTTCGAGTATCAGATTAAAATCGACGGACTCTAGGTTCCTGATTTTTTATTGAACACCAATAGATATAACAGGTGATTTAACATTGTTCCATCGATGACACCGAAGCGAATGACCTTTCCTCAAAAGTTAAAGCATAGATATGATGGCCTGAATCAATAGATTTTGTTACGAGAATCAACGCAACCATAGACAATAATTATCTTCTATGCTCATTGAGGAGCTTTCCTGTATCTCTCTTCCGCTGCATCTTTTCTACGTACTGCTTGCTTCAAGGGATACGCATTCTATGAATGTGGATATATCTGATTATACAAAAACAACAACTTATTTTATAACAACGACAAATAAATTTCTAAGGGCCAAATTATGGACCAACTGGTAAGTGTCTGGTTGTTACCTAGCAGGTACTTTCTATTCTCTAGTGCATAGAAAGTACCTGCTAGGTAACAACCAGACATTTACCAGTAAGTTCATAATTTAGCCCTAAATTGACTAACAAAGGGCTAGGTACTTTACAAACATCATTAGATCGCTTTCAGAAGGTTTAAACCTACATTTTTATTTGTGAATTTGAAAGATAGTATTGGGTAAATATAATATGTGCACCGTCTATGTTTTCACACTTTATCTATTCTTGAAATGCAGAAGTTGTCGATAACTCGCCAGAGCATTGCACGATTTTCTTAAATCTTGTGGCATTAGCTACCTTGCTGAGGTAGCCACTTAAGAAATATTCAGCTGATGTCAGATCTGAATTTCCCGGTGGCTAGTTGACGGCTGATGACTATTTATGGAAATAACTGACTATGAGAATCATGTTGGAACATGATTAATCTATTGTAGTCATCGTGAGACTGCATTGAAGTACGTAACAAAAATCCTGATAATGTGTGGCAGTAGCGTTCAGATGGAGCTTGCCCATCATTATCTCCAGAAAATTATCGGACATCGGACGGCATGTCAGAAAACAGCTTAGGATTTATTACGCTAATAATTAAGCAATGAGCTAACGATATCAACGAAAAGGCTATGTTATTTAGTGATTTTAATTGATCATAAATTGATTGGAACACGTCACATAGACGCAAGAATCATTGGACTTCCTAGACGCGTACAAGGAGATAAATTTGAAGCAGCTAGTGATATATTTCCAACGAGGATGCGCAATGATCAAAGATCACTTCACTTATCTTATCAAGAATTTCCTACTTCTATGAACATATCAGGGTTCAGGTGCACGTTGTGGGGATTCTTATACACCTGATAATACCTTATTGTAATTTGTAGTTAAAAATTAGCATAGGCATAGAGAAATATAATAAACCAAGGTAAGAGATACCGATTTATATGCGCCAAGTTGCAACGTATTTCTTGTAGCGCATGGTGGCGCTAGTATAGCTTGGAACTATCTGACAATTCTGACATCGCCTCCCATTCTTATATCTGTCTCTTTTTAACAGATGTGATAATAAAGGAAGAGAGGAAATAGAGTTTTTTATTTATCACATTGCGAATATTGCGATTTCTAACCTATAAAATGAAATTTTCTTTTTTCAAAACTGTCAAAAATAAGTGAACCTGAAATTAATTTGTTTATTAAAAATGCATGATTCTGGGGAGATTTACAATGTGAAAATCGTTAAGTTCATGCATAAATAATGATTATTATTGAATACTAACCTATCAGTAGTGAAAAGTTAGATATTTTGGATGTTTTTGCTTTTTTTTATAATTTTTCTGCAATTTATTATTTAGAAAGTTTATATTTATGTATAATTCAATTTTTATTATTCTTTGTTAATTGTCAAAGATCAAAATATATAGATTACTTCATGGACATTTATTATTTATTTTAGTTTCCAGGCCAGCGTTTTTCCGCATTTTTTGTCTGTCGACTGCGGAAAAACGCTGGGCTAGATTTCTATCTTCAAAAATAACAAAACTATAATTTAAAAGTTCAAAAAGCCCGCCAAATATTATTTAAGTTTGTCTTGTAGTCGATAGTGGCGCTAGTATCGATATGACGTCATCGCGATGCCAGTGTCGCACCACAGAATCGGAAATGATGAAGTAGACAACAACCACCAGAACAAGATTCAAAAGAGAGTCAGATTTAATTTGATATGTTAAAATATTTTGAATTTTTTTTTTTTTTGGATTTTGATAAATGTTAAAAACTTTATTTAGGGGGGAGTAATGTGGGGATTCTTGTACACCTGATAATACCTTATTGTAATTTGTAGTTAGGAATTAGCATAGGTATATCATTGTCATGGAGAATCAACAGTCTATCAATAAATAGTATATTACAATCCGAGACGGGAAATGCTTCATTACTGGTCGAGAGGTTTTATAGTTTATCGAGACGCGTAGCGTCGAGATAAACTGAACCTCGAGACAGCAATGAAGTTTCCCGTCGAGGGTTGTATACTATTTTATTTTTAACCATAATTTCTTAAAAAAAAAAAAAATTCGGGGCAACCAAATGAGGTCGGCAAATGAAGAGGAAAATGAGAACGGGAAATATTTCACAGCTTCATTTTCCGTCCGTGGACGGGAAATGAGGACGGAAAAAATTTCCCGTCCTCACTTCCCGTCCTGGGACAGGTAATGGAGCAGGAAAATGAAAAGACAGAAATGTGACATTTTCAAATTTTTGAAGTCATTAATGACAACATTTCATATATGGTTAAAAATAAAATAATATACATAAAGTCTGTTTTTTTATTAAAGATAATTCCCCAAGTCAAAAACTTAGTAACTATGTTGGCAACACAAGGCTTTTGTACGTAAAAAATTTCAAAGCATTGACAATTTTACATTATATTGCCAACATAATGTCATTTTGACTTTTATCTTTAATAAAAAAAACAGATTTTATTCAGCAACGTCTAAACCTTAATATTGAAGAAATATAGCTAAACAGCTATACACGTTATGATGCTTTCTCTAAGTTAACTGATGCCATATAATTCTTGCGACTGAAAAATGACGAGAAATTCTTTAGTGGCTTTATAATCATTCAAAGAAATTATAGCAAAAATGTACAGGGTTATTGGTTATAAATGTCACCCCGCTCTACCTTTTTTATTTGACATTTTAGAAAGAAGTTTCCCAAGTAAAAGTTTTATGGTTGAAATTATTTTATTTTTTTCAATCACTTTCGCATACACAGGGTGTTTCAGAAAAGCTGGTCGTGGTCCAACTATCTTATCTTGAATTGAATACACTGTAAAGTCTGTTTTTTTTTTAAGATCAAAGTCAAAATGACATTATGTTGGCAATACAATGTAAAATTGTCAAGGCTTTCAAATTTTTTATGTAGAAAAGGCTTGTGTTGCCAACACAGTAACTAAATTTTTGACTTGGGAAATTATCTTTAAAAAAAAAAAAGACTTTACTTTAATATGCATTAGTTAAAAAAAAAGTGAATATACAGGGTGCTTCGTTTAGGGTATGCGGTATGCGACAGCACTTTCAAATGGAACACCCTGTATGTTATTGAATATTCGGATTCTACGTAAAATTCCGAACAGATTCCATGTGATATACATACCCCATACCTACCCAACACAATTTTTTTTTTTACTGTAATGTCAATAGAAAAGTGATTTATATTCTTGATATAGAACGCTCACTGTTGTAGTTGCCAAATGACATTTCCGACTGTGCTGCCATAGCGGTGTAGCAGGCGCGGCTCCTCTATAAGGTCATTCGGTCAATGACCCACCAAAAAATCAAACAATAAATTTTCAATTAAACATCTTGGATATTTAGTTTTAAATTAACCAACATCACGCTCAACAAAATGCAGAAATCGAATTATTTTGCGACCTAAACTCGAAAAACGGCTAAATTTGACCCACCTCACGAGCCGCGCCTGCGGTGTAGTAATTGAACTAATATTTGGCGGGCCGTTTGAATCTCAGTTTTAAAATGAATGGTTTGACATTTCAATTTTTTCAAAATAAGGCAGTGCTCCGAAACTTCATAAACTAAAACGACGAATGAATCTTTTTTTTTTTCATATATTTATGTGAGAATCACTTAATGAATAAGATAGTCTATAATCTAGATGATCTGGCGTATCTGACTTATGACCAAAACCAAAATTTCTTTCTGTGATGTTTTTGATGTAGATTTTCCTGGTCTGTCGCTGCAGTTCGCTTATAGCCGATGTTTTTTTTGCTGCCTGGTCACACACTGTGGTAGGTAACAACTCTTAAACCGGCTGCTTATGATGCACTTATCAGTTCTTTCACTATAATGGATGCAAAAAATAGCGATACAGGCGCACAGCGGTGTAGTCACGAGCTAAAACAAAAAGTGGAGGGGATGAATCCAGTGAATGTTCTATTTATGAATTTATAATAGCTATTTATGTAACAAGTTGTAAAATGAGCGTGTTTTTGCACTAAATGTGAAGATTGGACCACAAGCGAAGCCAGTGGTCCAACACAATGGGTACCCAGCAAGCACGAAACATCGACAGGCAGTTTTGCGATGTTCTTTCTAAATCCGCGACTTTGAAATGTCTTATGTCTGTTCTTTTGTTATATTACGTTGAGTCGTCCGTAGGAGATTTTGGAGACATTTATAATTTAAGGAACTATCTGAATTCTATTTGCAC